GAGTTTCCGAAAATAGGGGACCCTAATATAGTACCCTAAAGAATAGGATCCTTATTATAAGGACCCCAAACTAAGGTACCCCTAATATTCGGAAACTCCCACTTTAACAAGCAACGAGAGAACCTGCGGCACGATCCGCGTTCGACTCGAGGCTCTGGGAAGTCCCTCTTCAAAACACGCAGCAACATCCGGTTTAGGGTTTAGGGTTTCCCCAAAAATTGTCGGAGATACTTGGCTGACAGACTCTCTACGCGGTGATTCCGAACCCACATGACTGCTCTCTGAACCCATCATACAAGCACTCTACTTGGGACGATACAGGCCCCGAAACATCCAAAGGATAGCTGAACGGGGCTCCGCGGCTCAGAGGCTCTGGGGCTCGGGGTTTCGAAACTGCCACGAACTCTAAATCCCCATCTCAACTCTTATGGGAACCATCAAAACTTATAGGAGCCCTTGAGGGAAGGAACACTGAAGAAACCCTGGTGGGCCACCAGTCAGGCGGCTCGCTGCGAGGCGCACAGCGGTCCGCCTCCTCGGATGAAGACAGGCTTCAGAATCTAGTGGGGCTTTTTGGCGTTTGCGGCAGTGTGTGGTTTAGGATCCAGGGTAAGGCTTAGGGTCTAGGATTTAGGTTTAGCGCTTGGGCTTCGTGGTGTCTCAATGAAGGCTAGGTGCTTGAGACTACGACCAGGGCCGCAACACTCAGAACAGGTTGCTGGGGTAGAATTCACTAAACCCTAAACTGAATCCTGAACCCTAAACCCTAAAACCGTAACAATCCAAAACCCTAGACCCTGAACCCGAAAGCCCTAAACCCTAAACTCGTAAATTCTAAACCCTGAACCGAAAAACCTAAACGAGCACAAACCCCTCATGAACCATTTCTGAAAAAAAAAACCTCGGGCTGGAACCCCGGTGCCGTGCTCCATGCCTCGACCTCGGACCCCTACCCTAACCCGGACCCTCAAAGCAGCCCTGATTTCGGTATTCAGGGTTAAAGGTTAAGGGTGTAGGGTTGACAGGTTTACTGTAGGGTTTAGGGCTGTAGCGCTTGCAGATAATATCCTGTCTAGTAAGCCTTCATTATGAAGTAATGCTGTTAAGCAACCCTTGTAGTAGCCCTTATACCAGTCTCCCTTACATAAGATCCCCCATTAGAATAGTAGCCCTTCTATACTGACCCCGATGTACGTAGTTTATATAGCAGCCCGTGGAAATCCCAATTTCTTAAATCTTAAACCTGAGACCGGCAGGCCAATGGCTCCAAACACAGAGCTCCCCGGGTGGACTCGCCAGGTGGCCGGCGAGGAGTCCGACAGGAAACCCTCTAATTTTGTATACCCAGAGACTCCAATATCCTTTAATTAAGGAATATACCTTAAATTATGGTAGGATCCCTAACATGATTTAAGGTATATTCCTTAATTAAGGGATATTGGAGTCTCGGGGTAGCGGCCCTTGTAGGAACCTTACAAGAACCCTAAAGGAACCAACCCTAAAGGAACCCTTGTAGGAACCTGAAAGGAATGTTGATAGGAAGCTTAAAGCCCTTATCGGAACTCTAAGGAACCCTTATAGGAACCTTCTGGTTATCCTTAAAGTCACTCTGTACAGTCACCCTCATAATAGCCCTTCGTAAAGGCGAAGAGGCGACGTTCCAGGAATCGCGCCAGCACGCAGGTCCAAATCACACCGTGGTCGGGCTCATGACAAGTCTAGCCTGAACCGCAGCTTCAAGGGCTCCTTTGAAGGTTCCTTGAAGGGTTCCTTTCAAGGGTTTGTTCGAGGAGCCCGGGGGTTCCGAGTATATACCCTTAATAAAGCTATTATATACCCTTTATATAGCCCCATTAGAGGGTAGGGGTCCCCATTCAGTTGGTGTTGAAGGCTTGAAATTTGGCGGGGTCGGGCTTTCTGGCATCAGAGCTTCGGGCTTTAAGATTTCAGCTTTCTGGGTTGGTTTGGGTTTAGGGTTTAGGGTTTAGGGTTTAGGGGGGGGGCTAAGTTATTCTGGCGGCTTTTCTTCGGTTTTGCATAGTAGGCTGTGCCAGTCGGTTCGGGCCTTGGGGGTTCCTAGCTTCTGGCTTCTCCAGGAGCCCACTACAGCCTTCAAGTAAGCATACATCTTGAATTAGCACCAGCCAAAAACCCACATCCGAAACCATCGAGGTGAATTTCGGTTATTAAGTCAGGATCCCCGGCTTCGTGTTCAGAAGCCTGGTGCCCATCGTCCAGTAACTGGGTGCAGGGGTTTAGGGTTGTACAAGGGATTGGGGTCATAGTCCTACTCCTTGGAGAGTTCCTGCATCCCAAACCCTAAACCATAAAGCCCGTGTATTTCTCCTTGTCGCAACCCAGGCTCTTCTGACCCTAAACACCAAACCCTAAACCTCTCCCTACACCCTAAACCCTAAACCCAAACAGCCACCCAGGGCCGTCCTGGGACCTCCTGCCTCCTCTGCTCCCATCCGACGGGGATGGCCTGATCTCCAGGGTTTTAGCATATAGGCTTTCCGTCCGCAGGCCAGGGTGTTTAGGGCTTCGGGTTTTTGGATATGGGCTTTTTTGGGCTAGGATATGGAACCCAACACTCGATGCTTGTCCTGCTAGTTCTGCGGACGCTGCCATTCGACGATGTTTGACAACTACAATGGCGGTGTCATGCTGGCATATGCAACGATCAACAAGACATATATACATGCATGCGTGCATATTATGTATACAGCTACTTCTTTTTCTTTGTGTATACAAACAAACGAATAAGCGTAGAATAAACAAAGCCACCGATAGAAGCATAGTTGTGCGTGCAAGGGAGGAAGGTGGCCGTTATGGCGCTCAAGCTAGTTAACGATTCTAAGTAAAAGGGATGCTTTCACTTGTGAGGATTCTGATAGATATGGGAGTTTCCGAGAATAAGGGGTACCTTATTTTGGGATCCTTATAATAAGGATCCTACTATTTAGTGTACTATATCAGGGTCCCCTATTTTCGCAAACTCCCACATGGCTTCAGGCCCATGAGCCTTACTACTCTTCCCAAATCGGCTCAGTCGCTCCACGACTAAAGCTTGCAGCTCGCATCGGAATCCCGAAATACTCTGAAATCCCCGAAACTCTAGATAAAACCCCAAAACCCCGCCTGTGGGCAAATAGACGTCCCCCGGCCGTCGAAGCATGTTTCGCACCATGGGTCGCGAGTTTGGGGCTTAGGGCTCAGGGTTTACTGGGTTCTTGTTATTGAACTTAACAATGATTACCATAATAAGGAAACAATATTATTTACTATAGATCCCTATTATGGTGACTTAAGTTAAGTTACCATAGAAAGGAAACCATACTAGTTACTTAAGATCCCTAGTATGGTAACTTAGATTAAGTTCCGTGTTTAGGGCTTAGGGCCCTGAAAGTAAGTAGTTTGGCCCCTTTATTAAGGGCATTGAGGCTTGACATCGAACAACCCGACAAAGGAGGAGAAAGCACAGCTCATCAAGTCGTTCGGCTGTTGTCTTCTAGAACCACCTGCCTGATTCAGCGAAACATGTGGATGGGCTAAGCAAGCTTGAGAAAGTTTCGAAAAAACGTTCGAAAGGGCACGACACTGCAAATCCCTACTACATTCTACATCCACTTCAGGACAACCAGCAGTAAATCCGTTTATGGGTCGAATATAGGGCCTTAATAATTGGAATAGGGTGTCGGGGCCCACCATACTATAATTAGAATAAGGACTCCCCCAAAATAGTATAGGTAACTATTTAGGCCCCTATATTATAGTACCCTTGTAGATCCCTTATAGTTACCCTTATAGACTACTTCTTCTTCTTCGTTGGACTTCAGTGCCGCCAGCAGCGCGTCCCTAGCACTATGAATTCTGGTGAAACTTTGGCCGGAACCGCCAAAACGAGGCCGCGCTGTTTCGCGGTCCCTCTCGAGAGCGTCCGGAAATAAAAGACTCTAGGTAATTATTTAGACTTAGGGAAACCTCGTGGCTCCTGCAGCCCGCTTTTCGATGAGCCTCCCTTCTCGCTCGTGGGGTCGTCGTCTACCTCTTGCTGGAAGCTACTGTACTTACCTTTGGTTATTAGGGAATGGAAGAATGGTAATAATAGTAGTTATAATTGTACCCCATTCCTCCATTCCCTACTAACCAAACGTAAGTGTAGGATTTAGGGTTTGGGGGGTAGGTTTAGGGTTTAGGGCAGAGACTTTCAACTCGACCTGCTGGGAAGCCACCACGGCGCGATGTAGGGGCGTTAAGAATTAGAGTAGGGTTTGGGGGCACATTGCACCGTAAAAAAATTAGGGAACCCCCACAATGGTATAGGTCCAGGTAATTCTTAGGGCCCCTGTCCGGGCATTCGACCGAACCTCTTCTCTCGAGGCCCGAGGCTATGTTTCCTCCCTCTCAAACTACTGCTGTATGCACTCAATACCCAACCCCGGAGGCAGCTTGCATCACATGGAACAATCACTAAACAAATACGAGCTCCTGTCGCACGGAACTCGTGAGACTAGTGGGAATTTGTGAAAATCAAAGGCCCCAGTGCCTCGGTTGAGGTTTGTATATGTCAAAGGGGAAAAGGAGGGACCCTTAATGGGGGACCCCTACCCTATAATGGGCTATATAATGGGTATATGATAGCTTTATTAAGGGTATATGCCAAGGGGTCCTTATTAAGGGTCCCTCCTTTTACCCTTGGAATAAGGGTTCGCACAAGGGTTCTATCGGGGCTTTTCGGCTCAGCGTTGAGGGTTTACAGTAGGGTTTAGTTTAGAGGTGCCTGGCTTACTGCCCGTCTGCAGGAACGATGTGCTGTCTTCCATGTTTGTGCACACCATCTGTCAGATGGCCTTGATGGGCCTCTGGGAAAATGGTGGCAAAATGACTTTGTCTTGGTTGAAAAATTTTGTTCAACCTCACGAGACCGCACATAAGTGCGGTCGAGGATTTGCTGCAGCTCCTTTGAACCTTCGCCAAAGGGGCTGGAGCGAACATTATCATAGCGGCTCGCTAATGTCCGGCATGGGTGTGCGCATTTCCAGCCAGCACAAGCAGCCGGCCGCCACACCGGAGACCACCGCCTTAATATACGCGTCTTAATAAGGCAATTGTTTTGGTTTGCGGGGTAAACAAACCTCATCATTGTGTAGGGAATTTAGGGGAGACTTTCCTCACCAAGTTTACTGTAGGCTGCACACCAGAACATCTTGTCTCAACCTCTACCGCTCGCTTGTACTGACACCTCAAACAGAGCCTGCAGTGCTCAACACCTGCAGGACGAAGACTTGGGGTTTCTTCGGTAAAGTAGGCGATTAAGGGGTTTGGGCTCCAGGGTTTAGGGCTTGCAAAGTCCAGGCGGGGTGAGGTTCCCTCAGTTGGCCGACGAAGCTGCGAAAAGGATGGAATGCTCCAGGCTGGAGGCATAGGCCGCAACTGCAAGATTGTTCGAGTAGTAGAAGATGGGGCCGACAAACGAAATGATCCTCGGCGCTTTGGAGCTCTGGATGTTTAGAACTTCATAGGTTGAAGGCAACAGCTTATGATTACAAGTCTCCTGAAGGGCACCCAAGGATCAGAAATGTCTGCACATGGTCGAAGCGGCCAAAACGACGCGCAGCGAACCGATCCGTGAGGTAGTTCAAAATTATAGCGAGGCAAGTGCCGACAAAGACGTCCACCCCCAAAAGAACCGCTAAGGCAAAGGACAACAAACCCTCGAAAGGGGCCCCACCCTTCCACATGGCCAAGAAGAACTCCATACTGACCGACACCAGAGCCGCCTGGAGGAGAATAAGGTATCTGAAGGGAAAGCGTTTGGCCAGGCAGGGTTCCAGATCCTGCCGCAGGTCCTCACGTACGAACTTCGTGAAGGCTTCCTCGACACGGGAGCCCGAGCCATCCCTCATCCCGAAACCCTAAACGCTTAAACCCGAGGACCCCTAACCCAGACCCCCTTTCCCACCCTCCCTTTGAACTGTGCCTTGCTCCCATACCACTTGGAGATCGCGGAATGAATGAACTCTCCTCGGTGCAAAGACCCCGCAATTCCCAGAAGTGTACAGCACGGTAAAGGGTGGCGCGCAAAGGGCTACGGCACAACCGAAGTGCCCGCACAGTCTACAGCGGACTGGGACGGAGGAAGTACCTAAAGGATCATGGGACTTAGTAACTAAGGTTACAAGTAAGGTAACTATACTTATAACTACTTATAACCCCAATTAAGGTACTTATAACCTTACTTACTAAGTCCCATGATCCTCAAAGTAAGGCTACAAGAAGGGCCAACCTGTTTGTTTTTCTTTACAACCATTCGACATATAGCCATATCAACCCACTTACTACGTTCCCTGATCCTTTAAACAGCTGCACCACGTGGTTCCTAAACCAAAAGTCCGAAACTCGCCTTCAGCCGCCAAGTCTCGATCAAACTCGTGCATGCACGAGACTTGATCTAGATCGAACTGCCGCAGCTCCCGTCGCCTGGGCTACATGATGCTTCGGGTGAAACTGCGAGAAAAAACCACTCAGTACACGTTGAAGCAAAAAGATGTAACTGAGGAGCAGATGGTGTTTCTCCCGGTAGTTGCTCCGAAGGAGGGCGGTCGCAAACCCGTTGAGCACGTAGAAGCTGCCGAATGCAATATAGATCGTGAACCGATATTCATCGCCCGACCTCCGACGCAAACAGCAACTCTAGAACCCCCATATTAAGGACATAGTATGCCTGAAACCACACACGTCTCTTGAGGAGTATACCATGCACTACAGTGACTTCTCATCAAGGAATATGCCTTGCTTGACACTTGAACTTTGTTAATTCGAACCCCTGTTCAGAATTTCCAGGCTTCGCGTTTTAAGGCTTCGGGTTTTTTTGTAGGCCCGTCTCCGTCCGCCCAAGGTCGAGGCTCAGGAACTCGCATTGCGAGCGGCACGAAACAGCCTTGGGTATGCTGTCCGTAAAAGGAAACCTCAGTTCCCTTTCAACTGTGCTTCGGTTGATGATATAAATCCTGCATTACTTTTAAGGACCCTGAACTATGGGAATTATGGTATATTCCTTGCTATGGGTAATGCAGGATTTATATCATCAAGCGTTCCATCCCTTGCTCATCACTTTCATGAATTACGTGTGTTCCCTGTTCTTCGATGTAAAAGATCAGCAACAATTCCGTATTGAAGGCACATGCCTAGAATATCTTGTTCTTTTCACTTCAACTTACAGACCCTAAACCCTAAACCCTAAACCCTAAACCAACTCCTTCATGAAGCGATTCAACGGAGGTCTCCGGGTTGCAGCCGTTTTTTGAGTGGCTGGGTGCGGCTCAGGTCCAACGCAAAAGGAGAGAGAGGTCTACCGCTTTAGGGGTGAAGTGCACTCCAAGTACCTGCGTTTTTTAAGAGCCGCACCCGATACTTTAAGGGCTATAGATGGTCCTAGCCCCATTGTTTTGTAGAGCTTGGGGCTGCAGGCAGGGAGGGCAGTGGGCCCTTCTCAACCCGGGGTGTCGGGGCCCAACCTCCCAAGCACGTACAGGCCGAAGGTCAGGCAAGAGAGGAGGAGCAGCAGGAAAATCCTCTCCTCAACTCGGGGAACTTTGCCAGGCTATTGTTAAGATCTCCTATAGCTTTATTCTGATACCTCAGCTCAAGGGCTTGGGTTCAGAGTTTAAGGTTTATAGACTGTTAAAACGGGTTTCATGAGGCTTGCATGAGCGGCGTTATAAGGGTTTGACAGGGTTCATAAGGGTTCTTTGTTTGTTCTGGGGGTTTGAGGCTTCTTTGTGAGGCTGTAAGGGGCTTGTAGGATTACATTTGTATATAGAGAGAGGGAGAGAAAGAGAGAGAGAGAGAGAGTGAGATACAGTGAGATACAGTATAAATATAGAGTATATAGGTAGAAAATATAGAGATGCATAGATAGAGATATGTAGGTATATGGATGTATACCTATATCTATGTAGCTATATAGTTACATGGATATACGGATTTGCACGTACGACAAACAAACGTATATATATATATATATATATATACATGTATATATAACCACACACACACATATATATAGGTAGAGATATAGATACAGGTATAGAGAAAGGTACGAATATACAAAAAAATAGACTTAGGTATAGACATAGCTAAACAGGTAGAAAAAAGGAGAAGTGGATATCGATATATATATATATATAGATAGATAGATATAGGTGTAGGCATAGATATTGATACAAAGATATATGGGTCTATAGATATATATTGTCCATATAGAGATATATAGACATATGGACATATGGATATAAAGATCTATCGAATGTCGATCTGTAGATCGACCAAAGTAACGGTATACAGATTTTTATGTAATTAGACATACAGGTATATCGATACATGGACGTACATATATATATATATATATATATATATATATATATATGCAGTTAGATAGATAGATAGATATATATATATATATATGGACATAAGAGTATATAGATATGTAGGTATATAGGTGTACGGATGTATAGATATATAGATACATGGATACATAGGTATACAGGCATAGAGATATATGGATGCAAATATGAAGGTATACAAACATATAGATATAGAGGTATATTGTTATGTAGATATATAGATATACATATATATATATATATATAGCTATAGCCATATAGATGTATAGATATGTGGATGTCATAGATAAGTATTTATATACGGCACATATTGGATGTAAGGATTTCGGGGTTGAGAGTCGGAGCTTTGAAGGTTTCAGGGCGCAGGGTGTCGCAGCTGTTTCTGGGGTTGAAGGGCTTTTAAGCTGTTGGTTTAGGGTTTAGGGTTTAGGGTTTAGGGTTTAGGGTTTAGGGTCAAATCTTCAGGCTGGAGGGCTACCTAAAAACCCATAAACCCTCAACCCTTCCCCCTAAATTCCTTCCAATCGCTGGAACTGCAGGAGCCGAGACCCCAGATTCCCAAAACCCGGAAACCCCAAACCCAAGACCCTCAAACCCCATGCCCGAAAACTCATGGCATTCAGTCGCAAAACAGTCAAACCATAAATCATACTTGAAACCCTGAACCCTACAACCGTAATCCCCCTTGCTGTTCAGCAGTTCTCCTCCCGAGAGCCAAATCCCTGATTTCCGCAGTGATCCGCTCCAAGACAAGGGTACCCTGTCCGAACACTCAGTTCTCATAAGGACCCTAAACCCTGAACCCTGAACCCTAATCCCTGAACCCTAAACCCTGTACCCCAAACCGTAAACACTCTGACAACAAAGGTCAAAAGTTGGGTACTGCCCCGCATACAGTAACAGTCTACAATAGGGTTACTATTATGAATATGAACCAACTGTCACTGAGTGGGTGCAGTACCCAAGTCAAAAGGATACCACTGGGCGACCGAAGTTACCACAAATAGCGGCCGGAAGCTCATGATGCCAGTGGGGTTCACCTCTTGCGCCAAGATTTCAAAAGAGGCTTAGGGTTTAGGGTTTACGGTTTAGGGTGTAGGGTTTAGAGGTTTAGGGTTTAGGGTAGGGTTTACGGTTTAGGGTGTAGGGTTTAGGGGTTTGGGGTTTAGGGTGTAGGGTTCAGGGGTTGAAGGTTTAGTGTAGTGCTTCGTGTCGGGCTCTACACGGGTTCTAGACGGGCTTTGGGGCGTAATGTAGCGGCCGCAAGAATTCGAACAGACTCTGGGGTATGAAATACTAAACCCAGATTCAAGAACCCCAGCGGATAGCGTAGTGTTGCTCGACAGTCGCGCCCCCACGCAATCCTGTGCTTAAGGATTTAGGGTTTAGGGTGTTGGGGCATGACAAAACTTCTCCTCATACAAGGCTCCAGAATTCAGGATTCTCATGGCCCTGCCCTTCGAGGGCAGATGGCCCCTCCCCTCATCTCTGCGCTCTAAACCCTAAACCCTAAACCCTAAAGCCTAAGCCCTAAGCCCTAAACCCTAAAACCCTAAACCCTAAACCCTAAAGCCTAAAGCCTAAGCCCCAACACGGCGTAGGGTTTAGGGCACCTTAAGATCGCAGTGCGTAGCCCGATCAGAAGTCTCTTTGTCAGCCGCGGCGCCTTCCTGTACGCCGCAAGTTCAAAGACACACCAAAGGCGGGACCTGAGGGTCTGAGAACTTTTTTGGGTTGAGGGCTTGGGGTAGGGGGTTTGAGTGTGCAAGGGTTTGGGGCTTAGGTTTAAGATCTTGGGCTTGGGGTTGTAAGCTTGGGGTTTGGGATTGAAGGTTTAAGATTGGAGCTTAGGCTTAAGATTTTGGGGCTTGGGGTGTCAGGCTTAAAGAGCTTGGGATTTGGGGTTGAGGGTTTAAGGTTTGGGGCTGCGGTCTTAGGCTTTGGGCTTGGGGTCGAAAGCTGGGGGTGTGGAGTTGAGGGTATTTAGGTTTGAGGTCTTGGGTTTGGGGTTCAAAGCTTGGGGCCTGGGGTGGAGGTTTAAGGTTTCGGGCCTAGGTTTCAGGGCTTGAGGGGGGCTTGGGGTTCAAAGCTTGGGTTTGCCGTTGAGACTCTATGGTTTGGGGCTTAAGTTTAGAGTTTTGGGTCTTGGGTTTTGAGGGTGTGGGTTTGGGGCTTTGATTTAAGGTTTTGTGCCTTGGGTTGAAGGCAGTCTTGGCACATGAATTCCTCACAGCCTCAAATTTAACCCACTCGGTGCAAAAAGAACATCTATGCACCCCTGCAGCCCCGATTTCGAGAATTGGGAGCTATCTGGACTCTGTAGCGCCTCATGTAATGCACAGATAGGCTACCCGGTCGTTTGCTCCCCGTGCAGTCGTCAATTAAAGCCTGGCGAAGAGCTGCTGACACCCCAAATCCTCAAAGGGGAAAAGGAGGGACCCTTAATAAGGACCCCTGGGTATATACCCTTAATCAAGCTATCATATACCCCATTATATAGCCCATTATAGGGTAGGGGTCCCCATTAAGGGTCCCTCCTCTTCCCCCTTGAATTCCTGGAGACCCTGAACCCTAAACCGCAAACCCCTTCGGGACCCTGGCAGGTAGGGTGCGCTCCAAAGAATGCGGAGCTCCGAGGAAATGCGCAAGAACCCTGCAATGCCGTACACCCCCCGCTCCATGAGCTCACGGTCCTGAAAGCTTGAAGTTCGGATTTCGATGATTCGGACTTGGTCTGGGATATCGGGTTTAGAGTGTCGGGTTTATATAGGGTTTAGGGTTCAAGCCTCACGGGCAGCCTTGCAAGTTGAGACGGCAAATGCTTTAGTTGCCTTAGCTACAACTGCCTTTCTTCGCGGTCTTGAATCACACTCGCTGGCCATCTAATGAATCTAATGCAGTGGCCTGAAGGATTGGGCTGTGTTTTGGGGGTTTACTAGGGAGCCGCAAAGGGCACTTCACGAATCGTTCAAACTCAACTAGCCAGTGGTTTTGGGGTTCCCTTGGCTCTTTGGCTCCTTATGTAATAGGGATTATCATCATCCCTGGCTCCTTAGCTCCTCCAATATCAATGGTTAGTCAAGAAAAACTCAAGAAAGCGCCTTAACCCAAACTCTTCGAGGCTAATCTCCTTGAGGCACTTCTCCTTGTGACTTCTGATAAAGCCTGAAGCCTAAACCCTGAATGGGAGCTGCGAGTTCATAGCTTCCTTTCTTCGTGATCTGAAATGGCCGAACCGGTGAGACCTGTCACGCACCTCTCGGCTCCGAATTTAGGGCTTATAAGGGTTACTATGAGCGCTTTAGCACGGACAAGGGTTCTATGGAGCTCCACAAGGGAATTCAGGCGCTGCTGGTGTTTGGGGCTTAGCTTTAGAGAATTAGTTCGTCGGGCGTTGGGGGTTTGTCCTCCTGGTCGATGCTGACCACATCGACGAATCCTAGGTCCGGTTGGCTGCAAAGATCCGGCAGGTAGGGCGTCAGAAACCAGCCCGAGACGAGGGCGAGAGCTCCGAATCCGTAAACCCACAGGCCCATGGAACACTCCTGGGCTGGAGGGTTTCTGGCTTCAGGCAGGTTGTTGCTCAGCCTCCAGATATCTTGCGCAGACGGCAAGGATGGTGCAGGAGTTAGGTTGAGGAGTCTTTTGAATTTCTGAGTTTTAGCCTGAGATGGACTAGATTCACACACGCAAACCTAACACTCAAAATGGCCAAGGCCATGCCGTGGGGGCCTCACTTCATGAAGCGCTGCAGGCCTACTTCAAGCTCCAAGACAGCCAAGACGCCTCTGTGAACCCTATGACGTTTGCCTTGTATGGCAACGGCATGGGTAGCACATCCATGAAGCATAAAGCCGTGGACACGACCTCCGCCACGCACCAAAGGGCAAACGTGCTTCGCCATCCACATTGAAAGGAGAGAGCTACAGCCTTGTGCCAACCAGGCGTTTGCCACGTGTGCGAGAGGAACACGTCGAAGGACTGCGCCTTCTGCGAAAGCTTGTGGCATGCAGCACGCTGGGCGGTTGTCCACTTGGACGGCTGGTAGCGCCAGATCCGCCCCAGCCCTTTCAGAGAGCGACGGAGAGGGATGCCCCAAATGATCTCGGCATCCACCGTGGAGTAACCGCCCGAAACGAGCCTACCCTCCTTGGTCAGAGTCCTTGAAACCACGGCCGGAGAACTGAGTGTAGGACTACCTAACCCGGTCCATCGCTGCGAGGATTCCGACGGGGAATCGAGGCCGCCGAAGGGTGACATCGACGCAGCGATGGAGGGCTGCGGCTCAACATCCCCACTGCCTATGTCATCTGCAGGATCCCCTCCCAGTTCCATTCGCGCCGCTTCAATAACTTCCGGGGGCACCTCAACTCTCGCCGAACAGCACGGCTTCTCGAAACATGTCTCCATCGGCTTAGGTTCTGCGCCTTCCCCACGAATGGGGCTCAGGCCCCTGGCGCTCCCCCAAGTCTCCTCCCCGAAAAACGTTTCTAGGCTGGGTGCTGCAGCTGAAATCCTGATTCCCTAAACCCTAAATCCTAAAACCTCTTAATCCCATGGGTTGTTAGGTCAACTTCTGGCGTTTCGAAAAATCTATCGCCCCCCTTGGGCCAGTCGAAGCTGCAAAGCAATTCGAAGTCCGAGTTAGGAACGCGGCGAGTTCGGACTCAGGATGAAATTTGAGGGTTTAAGGTTAAGCGATAAGAGATCGAGTCCTTAATAATACGACCAGGGGCTCAGGGGATTCAGGCTCCTTAACATAAGCATGCTATCATACACCCCTAAACCCTATACCCTACATCCCAAACCTAAGTATGAAGTAGCCTCAGCCAAGGATGCTGCCCATGTTGCGGTGTGGGAGACCTGGAGCTTAGGGCCTAGGGTTCTCGGCATGCGCCCACGAATGCTCGACTTCTGCAAGGTCCCGGCATTCTCAAGAGTTCCAATAGCCCTAAACCCTGAACCCTAAGATACAAACCCTAAACCCTACACCTCAAACCCTCAACCCTGAACCCTAAGATACCTTGCGATAGGACGATGCGGCAGCCTTTCTTCGAGCCCATAAGGCCCTGGACGGCTCATGAGGAAGCCTGGGGTTGAGGCTTGAGATGACAGGGGGAAAATCGACCCAATTTAAGGTTTAAGGGTGTAGGGTTTAAGGTGTAGTCCCAAAAACCCCTAAAGCTTTCAAGTTGGGGTAAGGCTTAGGGCTGCAGGTGTCTTTGCCTGGTTTTCGCTTGACCGCTCATCATCTTCCCCAGTTCCGAAGTAAAGCATCCGCACCGAGCGACTTTTCTGCGAACAGCGGGCAAGGATGCATGCGAAGCATCCCCGTGCCAACTTGCCCAGATCCCTCGAAGCGTTCAAAAAAGATGACCCCAGAAACCCTAAACCTAACACCACAGAAATTTAGGATTCAGGGCCTCTGGGATCTAGGGCCCTAAGGGCTTTGTGACCTTCAGGGTTTAAGCTTTATGGTTAGCTACATTCAAGGTCTAGGGCTTCTAGGCCTTAGGGCTTCGAATTTTTTGGCTCTTCATATAGGGGCCTTAATAATTAGAATAGGGCTCCTTTAACGGGGGCTACGGAGGCGACTATAAGGGATCTATAGAGGTACTATACTATAGGGGCCTTAATAATTAGAATAGGGTTTTGGGGCCCATTAACTATAATCATAAGAAGGAGCCCCCACAGTAGTATAGGTAATTATTGGAGCCCCTATATTAAGCGTTTTGGACTTCTAGGGTCCGTCTGGACAAAGCTCCCAAGAAGGCTAAGCCTCTTAAAAAGTTGAAGAGCGGGGATTGCGCAGGCCTCCCATCCGAGACGCTTCCCCACATATAGGGTTTAGGGTTTGGGGTCTAGGGGGGAAGATGTAGGGCATGGGGTCTGCAAGGTTTACGCTTTTTTTTAAGCGCCTTTTTCCTCTCGGTTCGCTGCCGTCCCGATCGGAAAGCCCTGAGGCTAGACGGGTTTAGATTTTAGGGTTTAGGGCTTAGGGTATAGAGTTTATAGGGCTTTCTAGAAGTCTGCTGAGGTTGTAGTGGCTTATAAGACCCTGGACCCCTGTGCAAACTCCTTTCTTCAGAAGGCCTTGATAGCCTTTAAAGACTGGGATCCCACTTAAATCAATCTCTGCAGGTGGGAGTCTATTGAACACAGCTTATCACGCCCTATAGGACTTCGAGTTTGGGTTTAGGGTTTAAGGTGTACACACATATCTACATACATACATACATACATACATACATACATACATACATGCATACATACATGCATACATACATACATACATACATAGATACATACATACATACATACATACATACATACATACATAGATATATATATATATATATATATATGTATGTATGTATGTGTGTCTATATATATGTATATATATATATATACACACATACACACAAATATTTACATATGTATATATATATATATATGTATATATGTATGTATGTATATATGTACATATGTATGTATGTGGTGTTGATCGGTTAACATTAACTTTGTAGCAGTTTAAGGTCTCAAGGGAAGAACATAGAAGCCTGAGCAACAAGACCAGGGCACGCGACAACTTTCTAATGGGGAACCCTGGCAGCTTATGTTGACTCGAATGTTACACTCCAAACCGCAAGCCCTAAACCCAAAATCACCTCGAACCTCTCAACCGTGAGCACTCGAAATCATCAGAGCGCCAGAGAGCAAGCCCCAAAACCCCAAGCTCTGAACCCTACCTGAACCGCGCATCACCTCAAACACCTGAGCCTAGGTTTAGCACTTTCAGGCTTCAGGCACTTAGGATTCTTGATGTTCAGGGTTTAGGGGTTGTTAGGCTTGAAAAACCCTAAACCCTAAAGATTCAAGGAAGCCTGTGTCTAAGGCAGGGTCTCGCGCTCACGCTGCCCTCATGCAACCAGCGGCTTTCAAAGCGCGCCGGTGCGATTCGCCCTCGCAAAAAAGGGATAGCTGCTCGGGGAGACAAGCAGCTCAACCTCTTCCTCGCGAGACCCCCTAACCCTAACCCTGAAACCCAAAAACATACAAACTACACCCGAAGTTTTTCCTCAATCCCTCAACCAACCTCGAAAACAAAGCCCTGAACCGAAACCCTATAGCCAGTTGACCCGAGGCAGCCACCACGGGCGAGGGCCTGAATTCGATCCGCGAATTCCTCCTTTCAAGGAGAACAGCAATGGCGAGCCCTCTGGAGGGATCAAGAAATTTTTCAGTGAGGGGGAGAGGGGGTAGGGGCCTTAATGCCCATAATGAGGAACCTAGTAAGGCCTCTTTGAGGAAGTATAGTCCCCTACCTCCGCCCTCTCCCCGGTCGCGTTTAGCTACTACAAGGGATTGCGGGTTCAGGGCCTTCGGCTTCCGGCTTTGATCACCACCTGGAGTGCGGGGTTTAGCGCGTAGGACAGACTCTCGATCTGGCTCCTGTTTAGGGAATGTACAATTACCACAATAGGGATCAAAGCCATAAAAATCGGCTTCGTAGTATGGCAACTTATGCTACATTCCTCCTCAAGAGCTCAGATGCTTTGAATCTTGGGACCTGGGGTAGTCTGTTGTTCAGTGCCTACTGTTCGGGTTTAGGGCTGGGGATTTATGCGAAACTTTTTGGCAACACTAAACCAACAAATGATGCAGCTGGAAAACCATGACAGTCCTAAGCATCACTCAACTTCTACAGAGCCCAGTGCCCCACATACCTACAATCATAGTCGGAATTTTCCCATGATGTAATGCTCCTGGTTTTCGGAGTTGATCTCTCTCTGGCCGTTGCTGGGGACGCCCTTAGGCGGAGATGTCCATCGCCCCGCTTGTCGGAGCGAAGCCGTGCACGTCTGGAAGCCAAGGGGGCCCGGTAAGATAGTTCGGCTTGGGATTGCCACTGCGATTCCTGTTCTGAAACTCGAACAAGTCCTAAAGCGAATAGAACCCGAATAAAGCATGCTTATAGAAACCTTCTTGATCCTTACTCCCAACAGCTATACCCCAACCCCTAAACCCTACACCCCTTTTGGGCTTCCAATGGCTGCAGTCCTGCAGCCCCTCCTTCGGGCTCGGCGAAAGCAGTATTGTAGTGGTCTTGATCGTTAGGGTCCTGTTCGGGCGCCTCCTTCTAGCAGGCTACTGTAAGGATATAATTGTAAGGGTTTGGTATAGTGCAGGGTCCGAATAATTCGATCAGGGTTTTTGAGGAAAACTACATGTGAATCTGTAGGGATTAAAGAAACTTACGAACCATCCTTCAACTTTAAAGAATCCCTTGACCCACCCAGCTAAAGTGAAATATACAAAAACTTACACTAGGGTAGGTCATGGTTCTAACCCTAAAGCCTGACCCTTCTAGTACTTCTTGTCGACGCGAGCGGTATCTCGGATTTTCATTATTTATGCTCAAAACAGTCTACAGGTTTCTACAACTTTTCTACGAACTTTCTGCAGGTGTCAGGCTTCTTACCTGTCTTCTTAAAGGCTTTATGAAATTCTTTTACACAAGGTCCCATGATAAACTCTTAAAGGCTCAGGTACCATGGGCCCGGTGTTGGCGAGAGGGGGCCGACAGTGCGTGCAGAATTCGGGCCACATCCCGGTGCATTCGGTCCACCTTCTGGTGCAAGTCCGACCTTCTTGGGGTGTTAGAAGAGTTGTTGCAAGGGATACCGAAGACTATGCGGGGTTACTGTAAGAGTCACCGTAAGGGGTTTAGAGCTTAGGGCGTTTAAGGCTTTACCGGTTTAGGCTTAGGGCCGAGGGCCCGGTTTAGGGTCCGGGCTACTAGACCGGATGATGAGGGTGCTAGAGTTTAGGGCATCAAGCTTTACGGGATTTCGTGTTCGGGGCGTCGGAATGATTAGACTCGGAGTGCTGGGTGCTGCTGGGTGCTTTTGAGCCGGTCTCGTGGTGCTTGTTTCACTGTGGAATAGTATCACGAACTCTTCCGACCCCTATGCTATCACATACTGTCTAAAGTTTCAACCCTCAGCCCAAAACCCTAAAGCCCTAAACCCTGAACTCTCAACTCAAAGCCCCAAGGAGCTTTCGACTTCAGCATTTGAGGCTCGGCCGGTCGGGAGCTTTGGGCTTAGGGTTTCAGGAGTTACGTTTTTCGGGTTTAGGGTTTAGGAGTGTAGGGTTTAGGGTCTAGGGGTTTAGGGTTGAGGGTTTAGGGTCTAGAAGTTTAGGGTTTAGGGTTGAGGGTCTAGGGGTTTAGGGTTGACGGTTCAGGATCTAGAAGTTTAGGGTTTAGGGTCTACGGGTTTAGGGTTTAGGGGTCGAGGGTTTAGGGTCTGGGGTGTGGGATTTGCGCCTAGGTGCGCTTTGTTCTGTGGTCTTGGGGAACCATACTCAGAACTTATTGCGGATGTTTCATCCCTAAGCCCTATTAACCCTAAACCCTAAGCTCTGTAGCTTCTTCCGGCTTACGCTTCGGAGCCTGAGGCTGGCATAGTTTGGGATTTAAATCCTGAGCCCTGAACCACCAAACCTCACCCAAAGCCACCCAAAAACAAGCGCCCCTCCCCCTCCCGCCCAACAAAGAAAAGAGACTCGTCATCAGCTCTTGGTTTGTCGTGAGTGAGGGCTCGAAACCGGTACGAACCGGACTGAAACGCCAAAGCTTCGGGGCTTTTTCGGTGCAGGACCTTTAAGTGTTCACTGACTTTGGGGCTTTTGCTCCTAGGGTTTGAAGAGAGGTCGTGGGCATGTATGGATGTATGCATGTGGAGGGTTGTCAAAATTAGGGTCCTTTTTTGGGGTACACTGAGTGCTAGGTGCCGCATTATAATAGGGGCAAAAAGGGACCCTAATTTTGACAACCACCCATGTATGCACAAACATGCATGCATATGCAGTGTATGCAGGTGGCTGAGAGTCAGGGGTGCCTTTGTGGGGGTCCCTATGCTAACAATGCTAGGCATCCTACTATCACTACCCGAAGCCAATAAGCTCCGCCGAGGGGCTGCAGCTTGTCCACCTTCACCTCCAGTTGATCCAGCCGACGGTCAAGGGGTCCTGAACCAAAACCAAAACCACTAGACACACTCAAACCTCAAGCCCAAGATACGATACGTTAATCCATACATACTGCACTTCCCGGGCTTCGGGATTGCGAGGGTAGGCGTTTCAGACCGCAAAACTCCAAACCGAAGCCCTAAGCTGTAGGAGATGGTAAGAGCCTGGTATTCACTGAGAGGAACCCTGAAACCCGAAAGCCCCGAAGCATCCGCCAAGCTCTAAATACAGTCACCTTAGAGTACCTTGTGACGTAAGCCTTCTTGCTCACATGTATGCCTTAACCCTAAACTCCGAAACCAGACTTTTCCTAAATCTAAATCCTCAAAGCATGCACCCTGAGCCACTAAACCCCAAACCTCAAATCGAAACCCCCAAGCCATAAACTTCCGTGGCCGTGTCTGATGCTAAAGGCAATGTTGGCGACTTACTAAGTCGAACAAGGGTTTTGAGCAACAATATGGCATAATTCTGAAAAGGAACCCTAAGTAAGAAGCACTCACGCAACCCTTTGAACAACTCCGAAGAAACTGGGATTTGGATTAGGGTCCAGGGTTTAGGGTCCACCGACTTGTGGCTTTCAGGTCCATAAGCCTAGGCACTTTAACTGGACCCTACCCATAGAAGCCCCCAAACGAAAAACACCCTTAAAGCTCCCCCAAGCCCCAAAGCTCGAAAACCCTAAATCCCTTTTGGGTAGTCACCCTCGGAGCAGCCGTTATAGAAATTTGTTTAGTTAACCTTATGGTAACCCGTATTGTAATCCTTTGCTTACGGAGGCCCCCATCCGCCACCCTATACAGGTACATGGACTCCGGAACCCTCTAGACCCCCATGGGAACCCTTAATAGTACTCTTAAGGGGAACCCTTCAAGGAACCCTTGTCGGAACCTCAACAAAACCCTTAAAGGAACCCTTAAAGGGAACCCTTGTAGAACCCCTACAGGAGCCCTTAACGCTCATGACCTGTCCTCGCGCCGGCTCCGGCCCGGTTGGGCGGAAGGCGTCCCCGACGTAGCGATGCACGCTGCGGCCTGACACAAGCGCTCGGCTCTTCCGACAGAGGTGGGTTTAGTGTTTAGGGTGTAGGCTACCTGCCTGATAAACCCCCAATATTACATATTATGACAGAAGTGGATTGAGGGTCTGGGTTACCTGGCTTATAGTCCCAATGTTACGTCTGAGCAAGCACATTTATCTTCCACATAGCCCCTAAGATAAGTATACCAAAAGTTAAGGCATCTGTATGATTTCCCAGGCCCCCGATAGAAGTAGCAGGCTCAGAGAATCTTGGGTGACCGGGGCTGGCGGCTTTCCGGTTCTAAGTTCTCAGGCCTTCAAGGTCTGAGGGATCAGGCTTAGTTCAGGGTTCAGGGTTTAGGGCCAAGAGGCTGCAAGTCTGCGACTCCTAGAAAGTTTTTGGGGATCAAGGATTCCATGTACGCAGCTTGTTAGCTTTGACTCTTCAGGGTCGGCGACAGCTTACTCACAGAATCACGGAGGGGTTATAAGTAAGGTAATCATAGCTATGCCATGTTATACATCCCGTAGCCCCACTAAAAGTACTTGTAGCCCTGCTGGCTAAGTCTCCTCATCTTTTAAGCAGGGGGTCTTTGGGTAAGCCAGGCGGCACGAAGGAAGGCAGGCATAGAGAAGGGTTGGGTCCCGGTCTGCTTCGTATTTCTTTGTGGAACATAGGGGCCTGCAGTGTTGGTGATACCCCGTTCTGAGACCCAAACCCTTAACAATATGAATTGGGCGCTGGCTCAGATTATGACATAGCTATATATCAAGAACATGCAAGAATCATTCCTCCGGCCTCTGCATAGAACCCCTCACCAAGAAGCCTCCATCATATCTCACATGCCCACAAAGTAGAAGCCGTAAGGACGCAAGTACTCTATTCACGGTACCATGCATCGCTGGCAGAGCCCCCAAGCCACTCTAAGGCCTAAAAGCTTAAACCCAAACCATTGCCGCTGGATCCCTGAACCCCACAGTCCAAACGCCAAGCCCAGGCACACAGCTTGAGGATGTCAGAGCACCTCAGACCACATCTCGAATGCTTCTCCCCCCTCGACACCAGACATGATTTGTAACAAGGGCCCCTTGTAGTCCATAATATATGACGACAATACAACAGAAGGGGCGTGAGATAGCAACAGCTTGTCGGGTCGGTCTCCTACAAGGCAACAGTCTTTGCCTGGAGGCGGCACCCTAAACCCTACACCCTCGAACTAAACTCTAGGCCCTGGCTCCGGAAGCCGAAAACATGGAACCAAAGTCCTGAAAACCAGATCTTAAACCTTAACTTCTAGACGACTGCTTGAATCATGGATTGCAATGGGATCCTAACATTCAGCTCTACCCTATCCCGAGCCCCAATACCCTCTTCTAACGGAAACCCATGTCGAAAACGTTAGATCCAAGCACGGAGTTAGATCCGGGAAGCAGAGTGCAAACCTCCAAAAGTGTGGGCTCCAGGATTATCGCATTTTGCTACATGACATGAGGGGTGGTGCTGCTACTCAAAACCCTGAAACCTGCCTCAAAACGCAGACTAGGCTTTTGGAAGGCTTCACATCGCAAATATATTCCATGGGTGGCAAGGAATCCTACTCCCAAAATCCAGAGGCCACCGGTTTGCAGCCCTATCCCCTTAAACTTTCGAGCCTCAACACGAAGCTCTGGCGCAAAGACGGTTCAAACACGGCGCTGCTTCACCAGACGGGTGAGCTCGATGGGCGTCTCACTCGTTGAGGCACGTAGGACGCCTGCAGGGACGTCGAGGTGTTCAGGGTTTCGGATTTGGGGGATGCTCGAAAAGGGCACAAATCTTGGCTGAGGAAAAGGGGTCCTCTCCTCTTGGTGCAGTTCGGAGTGTAGGGCGTGTAGAGTTTCGCGCCGATACATGCCAATGCACCCTTACTCTAAAACCCAACCCACTGCTACCGTTTTTGAAAAACCAACTGCGGGGCATTCAACTTTAGCGCTGCTAGCATGCCTCTTCTGTACACAAGACTGCATCTGCCCAGAGGCCTCAACCTTTAACACTAAACCCTGCACTCCTTCAGCATTCAACAAAAACCCGACCGAAATCTCCTCCGCCCCCAGACCCCTCAGCCCTAAACCCCCAAACCCTCGACGCCGACTCCCCTAGACGTCGGAACCCCTTAAAAACCCTTTTGGTTGCCCTTGCAGTAACAGTTATAGTAGCCATTACAGTCTGAGCCGGTAAAAGGAACCCTATAACCCCATCCAAGCCTTCGCAGAACTCAGAAGTGTCCAAGGACCCGCCCCCGTCGTAGTCCAACATCTGGAAGAGGCCCTCGATGTCCTTGAAACTATAGGGCTCGCGTAAGGTTCAGGGTGTAAGGGTATGCTTTAAACTTTCAGGTAAAGGGTTTAGGGTTTACTTACGGTGTCTTTTAACCTGTAGCATTCAAGGTTCAGGGTTTAGAGTTCTCGGTGGCTTTGAGAAGACTTGGGGTCATGATTTTGGGCTAGAGCTTGATGGGTTACGGGGTTGAGGTGTAGCGTCCCTCTCCTTTCATGAACCCACTACTAATGTAAAGGGAAACCCTGCCGGTCCTATGAGTTGACAGAGTATCTCATGTGCTGCTAGAGAGATTGTGTGTTCTTTTGGCCTTCATAGTCTTTCGAAGTGGAAGGGCCTTAGGGTTCGAGGCTTCTCGATGCATTTGCTCGAAAGAGTTTTGCTGAAGTTAACTGGTGGTCGTTTCTCTACAAGTAGTGTTCTGCTGCGCCGGACAGGTGCCACGAAGACTTCGAGTTTTGTACGGCTTTCCGGTGAAGTGCCGGCACTCACCCAAAAACACTGTAAACCTCAAGACGCCACACTCCACGACCTAAAATTGTAAGAATTTCTGGCCTCTAGACCTTGGATTTCATCAAATATGTATTTTGTCATTTATTTGTCATTTGGTGGTTTTTTCGTTTGTCATTTTTTAGTCGTTTCTGTCATTCGCCCTTCCTCCCTCCGCGCCCCACGCCCACGGAAATGACAAAAAATGGCACCAAAATGACAAAAGAATGACAAAGCATCGGGAAATGTGCAATGCCCCACCCTTCCTCCCTCCCTCCGCGCCCCACCAAAATTGCAAAAAACGACACCAATGCCAAAAAAATGCCTCCAAAATGACAAACAAAATGAATCCAAAATGACAAAAAAATGACTCCATAATGACAAAAAACGACTTCAAAACGACGAGAAGATGACAATGCCTCGGGAAATGTGTAAATTTCGGTTTGGAGCCCTGCCCCGCCCTCCCTCCCTCCGCGCCCCACCAAAATGACACAAAAACGACACCAAAATGACACCAAAATGACCGTGTTAACATCAACCAACTCCACAATGACAAAAAAAAACTACAATCCCAGTGACACGAAAACGAAAAGGGCAAATGAATACAAGATGACAAAACAAGTAAGTGACAAAATTAATTCTGGAACCCACCTCAAGCTTTGCTGCAGAAATTCTTACAAACCTAAAACCTCCAACAGCACAACGGAGAAGACAGACAATACTCTTACAAACTCGTCCGAAGCCGATTGCACAAAATCCCTTAGCCAGCCCAACTCCCAAGCAGCGAAATCCAAAGCCTGAACTCCTTCAGCCAAAACCCTGAATCCAGAATACCACAATAACCCTCCACCTTGAACCCGGAACCCAAAACCGCCCGAAAACCCTGCTGAACCGTAAACAAGTGAACCCCAAAGCCCTGGACCTCTAAACCCTACACCCCGAAACACGTGAACTCTACACTGAAAAGCCCTCAACCGCCAAAAACATCCCGGGACCCTGTGCCTCTGTTCCGGCGACTTCCCGGAGCTGTTCAATGACCTGGCTGGGTTTCGGATTTAGGGTTTAGGGTTTGGGTGACCTGGCTTGTCGGACAAGTTGGGGGTTTAGGGTTTCGGGCCTTCTGGGTTGAGTACGGAGAAGGGCCTACTGTCGGTTGGGAATCACGGGAAACAGCGCCTAGCCTCAAAACCCCTACACCCATAAACCCTAAACCCCAACCCCAAAATGACACCATTATATCCTCAACACCCCTAAACACCTACAAAACCTCCAAATCCCCAAAATATCCTCAAAACCCTTGATTAGACCACCTAAAAAAAACCATCCAAATCCCTAAAATACCCTAACACCCCCCCAAAACAATCCTTAAAAACCTTCCACCTGCACAAAATATCCTCAAAACCTCTAATTAGACCCCCTGCAAAAACCTCCAAATCCCTAAAATACCCTCAATACCACCCCCCCCCCAAAAAAAAAAAAAAACTTAAAAACCCTCCAACTCCAAGAAATATCTTCAAAACCCCTAATTAGACCACTTAAAGAAAACCCTCCAAATCCCTAAAATACCCTCAACTCCCCCCCTCCCTTCCCCAAATCCTTAAAAAACCTCCAAATCCCCAAGAGATCCTCAAACCCCTAAAAAACACCCCTAGAAACAAACCCTCCAAATCCCTAGCTCGAAGCCCAGAAAAAAACCCGGGAGAGCCTCCTCGGGAGCTCCCCGCAGCTCCTCCAGGGTGAGCTCGCCTCACAGGCTTGAGGGGTTTCAGGGCTTTAGGGGTTGAGGACGTTTTTGGGTTTAGAGGTTTAGAGGTTTAGGGCTTTAGGGGTTTAGGGGTTTAGAGGCTTAGGGATTTAGGGGTTCAGGGGTTTGAGGATTTAGGGGTTTAGGCGTTTGAGGATGTAGGGGTTTTCTTGCGGGGTCGTTAGGAACGAGCCTGAGCCCCTTAAAGAATCCCTAAACCCCCTTAAAAGGGCCCCTTTAGAGAACCTCTTACGGGTCACTAGAAAGGAGCCTGAGCCATCAGAGTCGAGCTCGAGGAACATGATCTTCAGCTCTTCGAGCCTCATAGCAGAAGGAATCTTCTAGGGTTTAGGGTTTGGGGGTTTAGTTTTTTGGGGGCTTAGGGTTTAGGGGTTTAAAGTTTAGGGGTTTAGGGTTTAGGGGTTTGGGGTTAAGGGGTTTGGGGGTTTGGGGGTTTAGGGGTTTAGGGGTTTAGGGTTTGGGGGTTTAGGGGTTTAGGGGTTGAGGGTTTAAGGTTTAGGGGTTAGGGGTTTAGGGGTTTAGGGGTTTAGGGTTTAGGGGTTTAGAGTTTAGGGTGTGTCGATGCTCCGTGCACACCACCACGCGAGACGTGTGTTGTGGTGTGCGCCTAGGTTCAACGCTCTCGCCCTACCCGCCCACCCAGTCTATGACCTTTGTCGGGTTTAGGGTTTTTCTTCATATCGCTTGGGTCGCGGTTACATTCTGCAGCAAAACGAGCTGTGCTTTTCTGTGTGCCCAAAGTGGTCGAAGCCGCAGCAAAATAGTGCCTTATTTTTCATGTGGGTAAAGCGCGGCCGGTGCTATCTGTGACCAGGTTATGACGTGGGCGAAGCGTAGCCGGTTTTGACAGTGAGCAGGATATGACACTCGGAAGCTGCGAAGGTAGATCAATATCCTGCCCGTTTCAGGCTACTCATAAAGCGGTTTCGCGCAAATGCGGCTGATGACAATTTGAGCTGTGCAGTGTGATCACTTGCAGTCGCCTCGCCAGGCGAGGTAGAGAGAGAGAGAGAGAGCACAGACAGAGCTAGCAAGCACCTGTTTCGACGACCGAATTGTGCCAGGTCGAGTTCTCGATGCTTCAGGATCCAGTACCTGGCAATGTGCGAACCTGGACAAGAGCAAGTGGCTGTTGCCATGCCTGAGACGACATGCGAAGAGCTTGCGAAGGGCCGGATCGGTAGCCTCGCGGAGGCCCTGGTTCGCGGCAACATGCACGTAATTACTCCAGAGCAAAGCCTTGCCTTGCGGTTAAGCTCCACCATGTCTATGCCGGGTTGTAGATGGGCTCGGATCCACACGGCGTAGCGATGCCGGACCTGACAGAATACAGAACAGAAGCTACTTGCACCAAGCTTCACCAGCCGAGGCAGGAACTTCTGTCCAGTCGTCCGGTCGTCGATTGAGAGCCATCGCCTGTGCAAGCGAAGCAAGCCGACAACGAAGGAAAGATGCTTCCAACGGCCTTGGAGTCGCCGCTGAACGGCACGTGCGGGGAGATAGACTCGATCCGAGAAGCTACGGAGTCGAAAGCTTGCAAAGAGCATACAAGTGTTCATGAAACTTCCCTACAGACGAAAGCCAGTGTTTACGCGCAGTGTAGGCCGGACGGCATGCACGAATTGGTGAAACGCCTAGCCCAACAAGCAAGACACGGCTTGAAGCAACAAAACGGCGTTGGGCTTCAACTACTCGAAACCAGGTGCAAAATTGCGCAGGTGCGGCCAGGTGGCGAAAAAAGTGATTTGAATTTTCGTGTGTTGTCCAAAACCTACGGCGCCATGTTTCAACTCCCGGAACATACTTGAAGATACCCCGCGCCGAAGGTTTTGTAGGGAGGCTGCGTCCCAACTTTAAAGGGAAAGCAAAATTGAAAAGAAAGGGCACAAACTAGATAGCGAAAAAAACGGGTGCACCGGACCGGCAAAGTGAGCAATTGGATGGCGACCAAGGAAATACGAAATCGTAGTGTTTGTTGAGTAGGCGTTGCTATTGAAAACGAACGCGCGGCACAAAACCGCAGAAAATCATAGAAAAACGTGTGTTTTACGTTGTCCTCCCACCATTTTGGTTTGCTGCGAACTGTCGAAAACTATGCACAAACCAAGGCACAGGGAGACAAACCAAAATCACACACGCATTCAAAATATCGACAACCACTGTCCCGGGGGGGTCCCGGGACAAAGTCGGCGGGGGTGTCTCGGGGCGTCCCGGGGGTCCCGGGACAAGTGTCCCAAGGCGTCCCGGTTGTGCCGGGAGCCCGCAACTCCCACAGACAACCCGGGACAATGTGCCGGGGGCCCTGGGACAACTGTCCCGGGGGGGCCCTGGGACAACTGTCCCGGGGGGGGCCCTGGGACAACTGTCCCGGGGGGGCCCTGGGACAACTGTCCCGGGGTGGGACAACTGACCCGGGGGGGCCCCGATTTGCGTCTGAGAAGTTACTACCTGCACGTGACGCACGTTACACGCGCGAGGCCCGGTGCTGGGACACGGTCAGGCAGGCCCAAGGCCAGGCTCAGGGGGGGCAGGCAAAGGGTTCCCTGGTTCAAGAGCTGCCACAGCAAGGGCCAGGCCAGCCAGGGCCGGGCCAGGGCCAGCCAGCCAGGGCCATGGCCAAGGATGGGGCGTTCCGAGGTTGGAGGTTTAGGGTCATACAGTTCTGATTGGCTAGCATGCCTGTCGCATGCGCTAGCACCGGAGCCGGTGCTGGGGCTCCTTCGCTGCGCCTGTCACGCCAGCTACGGAGCCAGCCTCACTGACGCTTCGGCACGCTCGCTGCTGCTATTCGCAGCGCCCGCAGCTCGCTTCAGTTTAAGGGTTCAGGGGTTTTGGGTTTAGGGGTTTAGGGTTTAGGGTTTAGGGGTTTCGGGGTCTAGGGGTTTAGTGTTTAGGGTTTAGGGGTTTCGGGCTTAGGGGTTTAGGGTTTAGGTGTTCATGGTTTCAGGGCTTGGGGGACCTAGAAAGGGACCGTATTGAATTGTGGCTCAAGCTTCCTGAAACCTGCCGGCGCAAAGCCCAACGGGGCGTTCCAAACAGCCCGCAAACGAAGAACGCGGGTTTGGGGTGTAGGGTTCATGGCTGAGGGAATGAACCCTTTGAGCAGGCTTTGTTCAGATTCTGTGTTCGTTCTACATGGGCCTGGGAGTTCACTGATCCTACCATGTCTCGAATAATTATCGCCTACGAGGGCCCCTTCGTAATTCATGCAATGCTCAAAAAGTACAGAATCGAGGCATCGTTCGGTCCTCAAATCTACCCTAAACCCTACAAATCTTGTGTCAAGTCGAGCTTCTGCCGTCGCTTCTGCACGGCCTCGTAGGCTCTCTTGACCTCGGGGGAAATAGTCGATTTGTGAAGAGGGTGGGTGCTTGCTCTCTGGTCTTACTGGGCCTTGTGGGTTGTTTCGTGAGGATTCTGGTGGCTACGACCTCTTCCAGTGGTGCTGAGCTCCTCCAAGCCAATACCAAAATCCGGGCGCGTGGTACGATCGCGATGATTCTGGGATGAGGATGATGGTGAGGGGGAGGAGGTGAGGATGGGGATGAGAATGGGAATGGAGACGGGGATAGGAATGCGGATGAGGATGAGTATGATGAGGAGGATGACGATGGCGACGATGACAATGAAGATCAGGCTGAGCATGACGAAACCTGTCGTAGTTGCAGTGCTGTGGTGCTGGCAGTCTTGCAATGAATTACTTCTGTCGTGTGCTGGAATGGTCGCGCGCTGATTCCTTCAACTTTTCGCCGATTATTCCGTCAACCACTGCCTGCGGATTCTGTCAACCCGGAAACGCAGATGCCTTCAACCTCAAAACCTGCTTCCTTCAACCTCAGAACGCAGATTCATTCAACCATGTCCAAGGAAATGATTCCTTCAACCCAAACAACTGCTTCGTTCAACCCATACACAACCTGATTCTTTCAACCCCAGCACGCAGATTCACTCAACCCGCAGCACGCGCCGGTCATTGTTTAAGGGTAAGGGCTGCATTATTGAATGTGAGACTCGCAACAGAGCGGGCGAGATGCGTTGACAACACTGTAGGGTTGACGGAAACGGGGGGGCGGAGTTGACGGAATCAGCAGAGTATGCGTTGATGGAATCGGGCGATGGGGGTTGACAGAATCGGCAAGATCCGGGTTGAGGGAAGCGGGCGATGGGGGTTGAAAGAATCGCACAATCTGAGTTGAGGGAAGCGGGGAACATGGTTGAAGGAAGCGCGGTTGAGAGAATCTTGGTTGACGGAACCGCGCGAAGTTGATGAAGAAGGCTTGCACCGTGCTGGAATCTTTCTGTTGCTGCATCTGTTGGTTCGGAGGAAGAAGAAAATTTTGAGCCAAGCAAAGTCTTGGAGTCAGCTGACTACTTCCACTTGCGGCTCAACAACATCGTATGCTGGGATGCTGGGACAATCCTAAACCCTACCTTCACCCCAAATAACCTACTTTTTAAGGACTTATATAAAGAAATCATATTAGGGAACCCTAAAAAAGGTAGGTTCCTTCTCCCTAAGAACCCTATAAAAAGTCAGGTTCCTAAACCCTAAGCCCTAAACTCTAAACCTTCAGCCCGAAGCCCTCAACTTCCGCCGATATCAGCCGGCTGATGGGGCTCTTCTGTTTCTCTCCCTCCTGAACTCCTTTTAAGGATCCTGGTATTTAGGGTACTATATTAGGGTCCCCCATTTTCGGAAACTCCCATATCATGGCTCCGTGAAGTCCTCTAAACCCACCCTCCGAAAAGAGCAAGAGTAGGGTTCCTAGCAGGTTGCGAGTTTTAGGTACTATGAGGGATGACACTATTCGGGCTGGTACAGGTTCCTCCGCCCTCCCCAAAAGAAGAGGATAAGAAGAACCCTAAGCCTTTGCCAAAGAGGACCAAGACACGTCCTTGTCTGCACTGGCCTGGTCGAGTGCTGAGTTCACCATCACTGCAGTGACCAGGTTCATCAGCGAGATCCTGGGCTACATGGGGCTCAAGACAGGGACTTGATGTATTACTAAACCCTAAACCCTAAACCACAGCTGAAACTGCGGCAATGCTGTCCCTCACCGCACCCTCATAGAAATCATGTAAAAGCCTCAACTTGAAAACCTCATCTGATTTTCCCGGCATCCATACCATGAAGAGCTTCGAGTACAGGGTTCGAGTGAGGGGTTAAAATTTAGGGTTTGAAGTTTAGGGTTTGGGGAGTTAGGTCTGGGTTTTGGTTCTATTGAGCATAAGGTTATACAAGGGTCTAGAAGCGGGGGCATAGTTTTTTCGGTCTAAGCTTTCGGGGCTTACGACTTAGGCCTTAGAGTGTGGAAGCTCTGGGCATTTTGGGAACTAGGGGCTAATCTATCGGTCTGAGGTTCTTAACATGATGGGTAATCCCCAAACAACCCTGAACCCCAAGCAACCTAAACACAAAACCCAAGCAAACTAGCCCAACTCAGGACAGCAAAAAACCAAGAAACCTCAACTCTAAGCCAAAAGCTCCTAACCCGAAAAGCCAAACCCATAACCTTAGTCCCAAACGCCCCCTGCAACAACCAACACCCGGAGCCAGGACGCGCCATCACCAGAATCACTGCCATGAAATAGCCGAGCCTGCTACGTCGCTGGGCGTTCGAGGGTTTACGTCGCTGGGAGTTCGAGGGTTTACCTGGATTTGCTACCTGTTGGGATTTCTTTATGTACGTCCTTAAAAAGGTAGGTGATAGGGCTTTGAGTTGTGGCTTAGGGGTTTAGCGTCAGTTATCCTGGTCTTTGGCAGAAGGATTTCGAGATAGTGGGGGGGGATCGTCTGGACGTTTGGAGTTCTTGGGGCCTTTGGTATGTTATGGTATGTTCTGGGGTTTGTGCGGCTTGGTACTGGGTGTCTTACGAGATGAATTCGCGGAAACGGTTTCCAAGACAGTGTGGTGGCCTCCATGAACAGCATACCGTTTTGGGGTATACATTGTACTAGAAGCATGCTCGGGACTATAGCGGAATATAACTATCGAATATTCCGACCTTTTATTATGGAACGTCCAACCTGCGCATCCTAAGCCCTTAACCCCAATGTCCTCATCTAACTTAGTACTATCTCCCCAACCCTACTAAATTATACACCATATAAACAGGAGCGAGGGCTTCGTGATTGTTTTGAAGGCTGCCTCTTCCACAGTGTTTAGAGTTAGCGTTGTGCTGACGGCTTACAATAAGGTTCACAGCTAAGCTTGCAGAGCTTCCCTCAGCTCGACGTACCCTGCACAAACCATCACGAAGCCGACCCAAAGAGTGCGCCAAAAACCTTCTTTTTCAGACACAACCCCCCCCCCCACGCCAGCACCACCACCACCACCACAACTACCGACTACCAGTACCACTACTACCCGTACGCATTATCAACCACCACTACCACTACCACTACCACTACCACTACCACTACCACTACCACTACCACTACCACTACCACTACCACTACCACTACCACTACCACTACCACTACTACCACTACCACTACCACTACCACTACCACTACACTACTACCACTACCACTACCACTACCACTACCACTACCACTACCACTACCACTACCACTACCACTACCACTACCACTACCACTACCACTACCACTACCACTACCACTACCACTACTGCTACTACCACTCCTCCTCCTCCTCCTCCTCCTCCTCCTCCTACTACTACTACTACTACTACTACTCCTACTAGTACTACTATTACTACTACTACTACTACAACTACTACTACTACTACTACTACTACTACTACTACTACTACTACTACTACTACTACTACTACTACTAGTACTACTAGTACTACTACTACTACTAGTACTACTAGTACTGCTACTACTGCTACTACTACTACTACCACCACTACTACAAGCGACATGGTTGGGGAGCAAGAAGGTTGGAGAAAGTTGGACAGGGGGGGAGGGGGGGTTTCTCTGGTGAAAGGAGGGAGGGTGGGTGGCTTAAATAGGGTCAAATTTGGAAGCTGGCATTCGTGTTTCCCGCTCCGTCCTAGTTAACTCCCAAACCCAGATCTTCCACCCCCAGCCTCCCAGTCCTGCCCAACCCACCCGTCTAGCCTCGTCCAGTCTAGGTTCGAAAACGAAGCAGCCATCCATGGCGCAGAAGCCACCTTGTTGACATACATCTATCGAACACCACTCGACGTAATACTTGATGAGACTGTCGTTCAGCATTTCTTGCAACAGCCCCTGAAAGCAACAGACAGTCATATCTATTATACGCAGACAAGACACAGTTTCACGCACAGTTTACCAATGGTGTTCGCCATGACGGCAGTCCGATGCATGCCACCTGCAGCTTGTGCGGGAGTCTCATCTTCGACCTGGCCCTGCTGCTTGTTTTTTGATGAAGGGACAGGGACACGACAGATGGCAGCTTTCTCACAGGCTGCAAGGAATTGTTCCGATCGTCCTCCGTGTTGTCGCAGTAGTTCCTGTGCTGCAGCCAGGATGCCGTCATTCTCCCGAAGAACATTGCTCTTGAACATGGAGTACAGCCCTTCGAACTGCATGAGAAAAGTTTTGCAGCGTGCCAGTGTTCCTTGAGGGACAGCACCATTACAAGCTGACCAGTGCCCATACTCTGGATAGAAGAATCACTGACAGTCGTGTGCCCTCACATGAAGTCCGTGCTCATGAACTGGCTCAGGGTGACTTCTAGCGTGTCCGTTTCGCCTGCATGTCTTGTTCGTTGTCGCTTGGACTGCGAGGGCTCTGCGACATCAGCAATCGTGTTTTCCACTTCCATCATATCCATTTCCTCCTCGAGCATCTGAGAGAACGATGGAGCTTCCTGACTTCCTGCTCTGAGATCTTGAGCTGATTCTTTGGCTTCGTGGTTTCTGCCTTGGCATTCTGCTTGCGTGAAGAAACGTCCATCTTCCTGACGTTCGAAGATGTGATCATCCACGTACAGAGGGTCCGGCGTTCGGTGGGTGGGTTGACCGTTCACATGAGGAAGAAAGCATTCATGACGGCCTGCCCGGAGGTCATCCACCTGGCTCCTAGTGAGGCCGATGCACGACTGCAAATCATCTCGTCTCCATGACATCAGCTGGTTCATGTGCTCGGGCATAAGCGGCACTTGGACGACATGAGCAGTGAAACCGTTGTCGGGGTGGAGACAGACGATTCTCAAATCTGTTGCAGTCAAGTCGTAGTAATGTCTCAAAATCCAGGCATAGATAGTGAGTTGGATGCGATAATGCCACAACACGGCGTCCGGAATGTCTTCAAGCGGAAAGCGTAGTCGGCGTCCGAAGCCAAAGTCTTTGCGGGAGAGCTGCTTGGTCCGTTTCCAGTCCAGTAGGCAGATGTCTGACCCGTGTTGGGCAACTGCATCAATGGAGCCAGCCAGATCTTCGGCTTCAGCGTATATTGCCCACTCAGTTCGGTGAATGACCCAACCCTCCGCTTGAAAATCTTTGAGGAACTTCGTGAACATGCAGATTTCTGGCGAAGCCATTGGCACACTGCCGCGGTTCAGCTGGCATTCGCACATGGCATGCATCCAAGTTCCCTCTGCAGCAGCCGTCCGGCGATTGCGTTCCATTTTCCAGAATCTCTGCACCAGTCAGACTCACTCTTGAGGCCTGATGACCGTATCCGGGTGAGTCCATATGACATCCCTCAGTCGACAGCAAACTGCCTCGAGATCGACTACAGGAGACGCGAGAAGATGATGCAGGGCCGACTCCGGGGGGGCATCGGAACCTAAGGCTCGTCGCAATTCTGAAATCTTATGCACGGCCACATCGTCCACTCGAGGCCAGTTGTGACCACCACGCATGGCCTGCACTGCCTCGAAGGCATTGAAGTTTTGGGCCAGCGAATGGATCAGACTCGTTACAGGAAGTGTGACCCTTTTGTTCTGCCAAAGTGGCTTGTATGAATGATCCACGTCTCGAAAATGCACGGGTGGGGGTGCAGGACAGCAAGGACGTTTAGAACTGCAACACCAGCCAGTCGCTCGGTATCGAAAGAGGACGGAATGGCCACGCATGCGAATCGAGAGCCGGACCACTTCCGTATGCCTTGTGGAAAAAATGCATCCAAGGCGAAGCAGAAGAGGCAGCAGTTTCCGTG